GAAGAAAGGAAGGAAAAAGGAAAAAGGAAAAAGGAAAAAGGAAAAAGGAAAGGAAGGAAGCCAGGAAGCCAGAGATAGCCAAGTGAGGTGGTGGGGTGTCAAAAACAATCTGACACATGCTGCTTGGACTCACATCCATAACCAATCTTACCAGCTTTCTCTCTAAAAATAAAATTTAATTAAAGAAAGTTAATAATGACAACACTAACATAAAATGTGTATACATACAATAACTATATAATATAATATAGTTATTATAGTTATATTGTTATAACTATAATAACTATAATTCCGCTCCTGTGCCACCTTCATGCTCGGGACTAAGTAACCAAAATATCTTTTTAATCCCTTTTCACCCCATTCCACTCCAAAAATACATGGATTCTTCTGCTGGCTTATGACCTTTCTCTTTCACAAAGACATATTTCAGATATAAATTGCATACCACTTTAAAATCATTATATTTTGTCATTCCCCTTCTTACTTTCATTTCACGTTAGCTCCACATTTCTTTGTAACAATCTTCAAGATTAATTTGCTTATCATTTTTCCAGTTCTTTGCAAATATTAGTCTTGCTGCTGCGACCATTATAACAATTAACTCTTCTTTTTAAATATGGTTGTTATTAATTATGTTTAATGGGGGAATACTTGGTGATATTCAAATATTATTTCCAATAATTTCTCTAATTCCTTTAAAAACCAGTAGCATTTCTTTCTTATTTCACATATCCACTACATAAACATAGAGGTCCCTTTTTCCTTTTTGCATGTCCAAATGTATTCAGACATTTATTTTTAGGCATCCTTCAGTCTCGAAAGACTATGGTAATGTGCTCTGTATGGAGGCCTGGGAACAGCGTCTAGTGTGGCTGAGGAGGCCGATTCGAGAGTGACAGTCCCTTCCACGCTGAAGACAAACACTGTCCTCTGTCCAGCTCCCTGATTTTGCTGGTTTCGGGACTGCCTTTCTGCCTCGGCCTGCTGGACAAGTGTCTCTTCGAATTGGGAGAGGCCATGATGCAACACCTGCCTCCAGGCTGAACGCTCAGAGGTCAAGGTTTCCCATCTGTTGAGAAAATCCATTCCTAAGGCCTTCAGATCCCGCTTGCAGATCTCCCTGGATCGCAGCTGTGGTCTCCCTCTGGGGCAACTTCCCTGCACTCATTTTCCATACAGGAGATATTTTGGAATCTGACCATCAGCCAGTCTCACAACATGTCCAAGCCAACGTAGATGTCGCTGCTTCAGTAATGGATACATGCTAAAAATTCCCCCTTCTTCTAGGACTACTCTGTTTGGAACTTTGTCCTGCCAGGTGATACCAAAAATGTGTTGGAGGCAACGCATACGGAAAGTCTTCAGCTTCATCTCCTGTCATGCACAAAGCGTTAGGTTTCAGACTTTTTGGAGTAAAATACCATCTCCATGTGACCTTGTGGCAATTTTCTTTCACCCTTATAGACATATTCTTCGTTATTCTTTTTGATCATATTTATTCCAATCCTTACTTTTGATCTCTTCCTCTGAATCCTCTTGCCACTGGTTTTTCATCATAGCTTTCTCAGATCCAACATTTATTAAAATCTTATAAATCACACTAACTGTACCCTTACTTTTAATTCCTTTCTCTTGAATTTGTCTTTGCTCAGTGATCTCAAATTTTGTCAATTTTGTAATTTCTCCTACTTTCCTGGTCAACTTCTTTGTTCAACTTTCCATCTGGAATATATTTAAAGCAAAGCAAAGCGTGTTGCTTATATACCGCACCCCCCATAGCTCTCTGGGGTGTTTACAAGTTAATCATGAAGGCTACACATTCCCCCCGCCCCCGCAGCGAGCTGGGTACTCATTTTCCCGACTTCGGAAGGATAGAAGGCTGAGTCAACCTTGAGCCGACTCCCTGGGATTGAACCCCAGGTCATGAGCACAGTTTTGGCTGCAGTACAGCAGTTTAACCACTGTGCCGCAAGGCTCTTTAAACAAACAAACAAACAAACAAACAAACAAATAAATTTATTTATTTATTTATTTATTTATTTATTTATTTATTTATTTATTTATTTAGCTTATATGCCAGCCATTTAGACATAGTCTACTCTGGGCGGCTCAAAAATGCAGAATAAAAACAATTGATATCATGTGCATTAATATCCGGAATATGTCTAAACTGGTTTGCAATGTAATATATTTTAACAGTTGGTAATCCGAGCCCTCCTTCCTGTTGTGGAATATATCACTTTTCTCAATATGATAATTATGTTTTAACTGGTTGTTGTAGACGCCATGCGTAGGCAACCCCTGCTGTCTGATGGGTGGGGCAGGGCCAAATTCAGGGCTGTTTGAGCAGCCACCACTGTCACAGACGTGGTAACTTCCTCCTCTGCATGGCTTCCTTGGAAAACAGCCCAGAGGAAGATGTGCCCCCCCTCTCAAGGGGGCTGGTCCCCTTCTGGTCCTCTTTAGCACCAAAGGAGACTCACCTTCTTCTCTTGGGCTCCCCCCACCTCTTGCCCTCCTTGTATGCAGGCTCTGGGGCTGGAAGAGGCTTCTCGGCTCCACTGGCCCAGCTGCTCTCTGTTGCTTTGCCAAGCTGTTCTACGGCACACCTTCCTCTCTCTCTCTCTCTCTCTCTCCCTGTCCTGACAGGGGCCTGGGCAGAGCGTTTCTCCCTGCATGCGGCCACCGGAGAGCTGCGCACCAGCACCAAGCTGCGCCAGGCAGACCGGAGCGAGTATATGTTCACCGTGGTGGCGAGTGACCGAGGTGCTGAGCCCCGGAGCACAACAGCTGCTGTTCGGGTCCAGGTACTCGTCCAGGCCCTCCCCAGTGAGCCCATAGCCACCCTCCACCTCCATCTCCACCAGTCAGTCCCGTACATGTCCGTCCTCTGGAGCCCTGGACTGCAGCCCCCCGGAGCCCCCTGCCTCCTCTTAGAGATGCCTCCTAACCCCTGCTCTCCCTCAACAGGTGGTGTCCACTGCCCGCACGCTTCCCCGGCCGGATGCCACGGTGCTGACTCTCTATCCCCTGGAGGGGCTACAACCCGGCTCTGTTATCGGTTCCGTGGCTCTGCCAGAACTGCCTCCGCGGGGACCAGTGACCTACATGCTGGCAGGAGGCAGCAGTCCAGACGGGATTTTTGTGGTGGATGCAAACACTGGGGAAATCTATGTGTCCCAGGAGCTGGATTATGAAGCTGGCATGCGATACACCCTGCAAGTGAGCGTGGAAGACACCCTGCAGGGGTTCCCTAGCCAGCGCCTAGTGCTCGTGGAGATTCATGTGCAGGATCGCAACGACCACGTGCCCAACTGGCCACAGGACCCTATCACCGTGGTGGTGTCTGAGAGCGCCACTCCCGGCACGTCCCTCTATACGTTCCAGGCCCTTGATGGGGATGGCCCGGGACCCAACAGTCAACTGCACTACAGCCTCCTGCGCCAAGAAGCAGCCCAGCCAACCTTCTGGCTGGATGCACGCAGCGGGGAGCTCAGCCTGCAGGGGGCGCTAGACCGTGAGACTCAGTCTGCCTACCTGCTGGTGGTCCAGGCCACAGACCAGGCTCACAACGTGAGTCAGCGCCATTCGGCGGCCGTCACTGTGCACGTCTTCATTGCAGACGAGAACGACAACACCCCCGAATTCCTCTCTCGGTCAAGAGTTGATGTCCCTGAGGACCAGCCCACGGGCTTCCTTCTGCTCCAGGTGATGGCCCGGGACTGGGACCTGGGAGAGAACGGGCGAGTGAGCTATGCACTGAGAGCTGGGAATGCAGATGGTCGGTTCCACCTTCACCCCAACACAGGTGAGTCCGTCGGGGAGGGAGGGAGGGAGGAGACAAGGCGGCCGCAGCCCTTCCCCACCTAGAGGCTCTTTCCCCTCCACAGTCCCCTCTCTGTGCCACAGTGGGACCGCTGGACACTCTGTTTAGAAGAATTAGTGAAGGAAAAACATTTTACTCTGTTCTGTTGTTGTTCTTTAGTCATTAAGCTGTGTCCGACTCTTTATGACCCCGTGGACCAGAGCAGGCTGGGCCCTCCTGTCTTCCACTGCCTCCCGGAGTTGTGTCAAATTCACGTTGGTCACTTTGATGACACTGTCCATCCATCTCGTCCTCTGTCGTCCCCTTCTCCTCTTGCCGTCACACCTTCCTAACATCCAGGTTTTTTCAAAGGAGTCTTTTCTTCTCATGAGATGGCCGAAGTACTGGAGCCTCAGCTTCAGGATCTGTCCTTCCAGTGAACACTCAGGGTTGATTTCTTTCAGAATGGATCGGTTTGTTCTCCTTGCAGTCCAGGGGACTCTCAAGAGTCTCTCTATTCTAAGCAGTGGGAAATAATTCTATTTATTTATGTCTCAAGTTTCTCCCACTGGAGGACTGAAGGTAACGCTTAACATGAATTGAAAACAGACACCACTGAAAGCACAATACAACGTGTTTAAATAGAATGAATAGGATCATAGAACTGCAGTGGTGGGGAGGACCTCAAGGGTCACCAAGATCCACTGCCTCCCAGGGCAGGAAACCCACAGCTGAACCCTCCGTCTCTGTCAGGTGGGCATCCAGTCTCTGCTTAGAAAATGGTCAGGAGCAGAGAGGCCCATGACTCCTGGGGCGTCTATTCCAGGGACCCGCAGCCGTCCTACTGCCCGTCCATTTCCCCTCCCATTCAGTCAACATTGCCTGTCTTGTCACTGAATGCCATAATGTTAGGCCCTTTCCTCTACCGCTGGTGAAAACCCACTTGCTCCATCTCCCACTCCTGGTATAGCCTCCCTCCGGCAGGCTTTACACGACCGACTTGCTCAACCGTTCCCCCTAGAGCTCGGCTTTCGGGCTTTTCTGCTTGCTCTTCCTCTGGATACATCCAAGATGGTCATTATCCTTCTTAAACTCCAGGGCCCAGAACCAGATGAGGGCTGAACAAAGGCGACAGAGTGCTGCTGACTCATCGCCTGAGTTGGATGCTGTGCTTCTGTGGATTTCCCCCGCCCCCTGGCCGCTCCCCGACTGCATCTGCTTTTTGGCCTTGACCTCACATTTTAAGCTCTCGTTTAGCTTGAGATCTACTAAGATTCTCTGAATCTTTTTCATGCCATGACTGCCAAGCCAGGCATTACTCCATATCTCTGCCACTTATTTTCCTTGCTTAAATGTAGAATTTTTTTTTCTGTTGGTTCCCCAATCCGCTAAGGTCATCTTGCATCCTGAGTCTCTCTTCTGAAGCGTTTCCTGCAAATTTGGGCTTCATGGTTCCTATTCCTGCATCCAGGTCATTCAGTTGAACAACACCTGGCTCAGGACACCACAACCCTGTGGCTTCCCCCTTCCCCACTTGTCACTGTTTTTAGGATGACAGGGCGCCACGTTATCATTGTGGGCCGTTCCTGGAGAGGCCTGATCTGGCCACGGTGCCACGGGCCCTAGTGACATCTCGGCTGGATTACTGTAACGTGCTCTGTTTGGGGCTGCCTTTCGAAAGTGTTCAGTGGATCCAAAGTACAGTACTGCAACCTGACCGTAAACTGGAGCTGATTACAAGGATTACATATTCTCTTCCCCCCCCCCGTCCCCGTTACAGCACCTGCACTGACTTTCAGTCTGTTTCAAAGTGCTGTTTTTTACTTATAAAGTCCTAACTGACTTGGGTCCAGTCTGCTTGAAGGATCACCTTTTCCTTTTCCTTTTTATTTTTTTCAAAACAAAAGCAAATACAAAAATACAAAATACTTACTATAGATTCTAAACCACCGTGCACCCCATACCCATGGGACCCCCTGGAACAATACTTTTAAGATGAACTTCCTTTCCAAAATTGTATTGATTGTTTGGTTGTTGTGGGTTTTTCGGGCTCTTTGGCTCTTTGTTCTGAAGGTTGTTCTTCCTAACGTTTTGCCAGTCTCTGTGGCCATGGGCATCTTCAGAGGACAGCAACCTGATTGATTGTTGTTTAGAGGCTTTCCCCTTTCCTTTCACTAATACAAATTCAACAAATCTACCCCAAACAGCATAAAATATATTTGAACTTATTTCCCCTCTTTTCATCTTAAGTTCAGTAGTCAATTTATCATTTAATGCAATGTCCCATACTTCATTATACCAATCTTCTAATTTAATATCATTTTTATCTTTCCAGAATCTAGCTATTAATATTCTTTTCCTTCAAAGTGTGCCTTCCTGAATACTTTACACAGAGTTCTCTCCTAACTCCAGTGCGCCTCCCCCCACTGAAAAAAATCATGAAGAAATACCAAGGGGCACAATGCATAGAGATTTTTTTTTAAAAAAATTAAATTATGAATTGACTTTGTTGTTGCTAAAGGGAGGGTGACTGTTTGTAAAGGTAAGATGAGTTATGTAAAAAATAAGAAAGCACGTACGATGCCAAAGCGTTTGGAATCTACTGTTCTGTAGTTCCCTGCTAAAGAAGTGCCTGTGAAAGTGGCCTAATCCTGCTGTATTTCTTGCAATTCTGAAAGCCATGGTTGGTATTTTGCAAGCTGTCCCTTGCGTGTCTGGCCATCCTGTGGTTGCACAGCTGGTCATGTGATCCATCACATGATGGAGGCAATCATACATGAACCCCTTTGGTGCAAAAATGAAATCCTGCTTTCATGCTGGCTAGCCAAAAGACTGTGCCTTGCAGAGTAACGCTGGACTGAAAACAGAAAGGATCTCCCGGCAGCAGAGTCCTGCTCTGGTCCACGAGAAGGCTGCCTAGCTGAATTCTCCTTGTCACCCAGTTCCTAGAGAGCTTTTCTATTTTCCCCGAAAATAAGACCTAACCTGAAAATAATGATTTTTCAGGACGCTTGTGATATAAGCCCTACCCCAAAAATAAGTGAAGTGAAACCCCGCCCTCCACCCTTGTGCAGCAACCAGAAGAAGATGACAGGACTGTAAAATAAAACAGCCCCTGAAAATAAGCCCTAATGCACTGGTTCTTAACCTTGGGTTACTCAGGAGTTTTGGACAGCAACTCCCAGAAGCCTTCGCCACCAACTGTGCTGGCTGGGGTTTCTGGGAGTTGCAGTTCAAAAACATTCGAGTAACAAAGGTTAAGAACCACTGCCCTAGTGTGTTTTTTGGAGCAACAATTAATATAAGGCCCCGTCTTATTTTTGAGGAAACACAGCACTTGGGCAGCATCTCCTTAGCCTCCTCTCCTCCTCCTTGCAGGAGCACTATCCATCGTGCGGCCTTTGGACCGAGAAGAGACATCGCAGCATAACTTGACAGTGGTCGCCATGGACCACGGGTCCCCGCGGCGCTCTGCCACGCAGCTGCTCTTGGTCCAGGTGCTAGATGTGAATGACGAGGCGCCTGCCTTTGAGGGGAGCAGCTATGAAGCTCGTGTGGCCGAGAACCTGCCCGCTGGCGCCCCTGTGCTCCAGCTCCATGCCACTGACCGGGACCTGGGTAAGCAAGGACGGGCGTGGCTCTTAGGGGGTCCTCCGGAGAGGAGTGAGCGGGGGAATGGGGACTCACCCCCTGGCTGGCAAAAGGGCAGTGGAGGTTTGCAGAAGAGGTGACCTCTTCGCTGCCCTACCCTGGAGGGCATTCCCGCCGCCCAGAATGGCTGGAAGAGAGAGAGAGAGAGAGTCCTGCCAGGAGGGTGGCTGCAGGTGTCCTGTCCCTGTTGCAAACCCCAGGGGACCCCTTGGAGGGTGAGGGGGCCTCTCTCTGGCACTCGCTGTGCCTGGGCAGGGCTGTGGCCCAGGCCTTGCCTCCTCCAGCTAGAAGGGGGAGCCCGCTTCCAGGAGCGCCCCTGGGGCTGCTGCTGCTGCTGCTGCTGCTTCCCGTGCCCCACGAGGCGGGAGCATCGGCCTCAGAGGCCTGGTTGGAGCACGGCGCCTGCCTCACATCAGAGCCCCTGTGCCTGTGCAAAGTCGCGTCCCAACTGGGCTGGGACTCTGGTGTGCCAGCACAGCCCAGGGCCTCCAGGGCCAGACCCTCCAGCACAGCTTGTAGGGCTGCCAGGCGCACGCCCATCGTCCTGGTTCACTGAGCAGCTGGGCCTCTGCATCATGCCACGACATGAGGGAGGGGGGGCGCTTGGGCGAAGGGCAGGAGCGCCCAAGAGAGCCGTACGAGAACCGCCGGAGGTCCTTGTTGTGCTTTCAGGGCTCTCTGGGCACACCAAGGGCACCTTCTTCTTGGGCAGCTTGCACGGCCTGACTTTGCCTCTTCCCTGACAGGCATAAGCGGGCAGGTGACCTACGGCGGGATCTCTGGGGAGGACTTCTCCATTGACCCACAGACGGGACTGATCAGCACCAGGCGCTCACTGGACCACGAACAGGATGCTGAGCACTTGCTGACAGGTAGAGGGGCTGGGACTGGGGCCAGCGGTGGTGGGCAAGGAGAGGAGGGAAGCAGGGCCTTCCGTGAGGGGCCCTTGTCCGGGAGCTAGGCCACGTTTGATGGGCCTTGGGGCCCGATATCCAAAGCGGGATATCGGGCCCCAGGTCCCCTGCCACGGGGAGCTGGACGTGCTTCAGGCGTGGTGGTCAGAGGGCAAGCGAAGGGTGTTGGGTTCTGGTGATTCCTCAAGACACATCGCCTAACTGCACGTTGGCCACAGAGGGGCAAATCTGCAGGCGTCTGCGTTCCCCCCACCCTACATATTCGGCCACGGGGTCCTAATACACGTGTGAAGGGTCAGCTCCAGCCCGAACCCACAGAAGAGGCCTGTCATGCTTGCTCTCTCGCGCTGGTTTTTAGACATGGAAACAGGCAGGGAGCTCCCTTCACAAAAAACCACCCAGAAAACATCTTGGTTGCACTCCAGCCCCACTGCAGTTTTGAGAAAGCAAGATGGCTGCCGAGGCCGGTGTAAAAACTCTTCAGGGGTGGGGGGCCACCGGTCGCCACGTCGCCCCCGCTTCCCAGAGGAGCAAGACTGGGAGAAATGAAACCGAATGCAGAGATGGCTCATTGGCATAAAGTGTGCAGGAGGCAGCGCTGGGGAGTTGCTCTGGGCGTGGAACGGGGACCCGTCCATGAGGGGCGCCGGCCTGGCTCCTGCCTGCCTGCCCGCCACCAGGCCCAGCCTCTCACGGTGAGGGCTCCTTTCCTTCTCCAGTGTATGCCCGGGATAAAGGTCTGCCCCCACACCAGGCCACGGCCACGGTGCGGGTGTTGGTGCTGGACGAGAACGACCACTCTCCGACTTTCCCCAAGGAAGTTTACTCCTTAGAGGTGCCTGAAAACCACAGCCACGTGGAGCTGGTCACGGTGTGTGCCACCGACCGGGATTCTGGAGAGAACGGGCGTCTGGCTTACCATCTAGCAGGTGAGTGATCCCAGGTGGGGTGGGGTGGGGTGGGGGGAACAGAGGAGGCTCAAGCGCTTAGACAAGACGACAGAGCGCCCGAGGCCAGGCGGTGCCGGACTGGGACGGCCGGGGCCAAAGCGTGGCAACAGGGAAGTGAGGCTCCCTTCGGCCTCTCCGCCTCCCTCCTTTCTCCGTGCAGCGGAGGGGACGGTGGAGCACAGGCAGCCGTCTGGAGGCGTCCCCCGGAAACGGGCTCCTCTCTGGGGAATGAGAGTGCAAGTTAGGGTTAGGGTTAGGCACCGTGGGTCGTGGATTTTCCAGGGGGAAATTGAAGAGCACTTGTGCTGGTGTGTGCGTGTGTGCGGGGGTGGGTGGGTGGCCTCCACCTCCTGTCTCGCAGACCTCTGCCCTCCCCTCCCCGACCCCTTGTCCCTCCAGCTGGAGACCCCGACGAAGACTTCACGCTGGATCCTGTCTCGGGCAAGCTTTCCACAGCGAGGGGGCTGGACCGCGAACGTGTGGCCACCTATAGGCTGACCATCCAGGCCTGTGACCACGGCACCTCTGCCCGCTGCGCCAAACTGGAGATCCGTGTGCGCGTGCTCGACCTGAACGACAACAGCCCCCGCTTTGCGCAGGAGGCTTACGCCGTTGAGGTTCCCGAGGACCTGCCGGTGGGGGCCCGGGTGCTGCAGCTGGAGGCCACCGATCCGGACGAGGGCCCCAACGGCCGCCTGGCCTACTTCCTGGGCAACGGGTCCCTGGGGACCTTCCAGGTGGAGCCAGAAACGGGACGCCTCACCAGCACGCAGCCCCTGGACCGGGAGCGCCGAGCCACCTACAGTTTCGTGGCCACTGCCGTGGATGCCTCCCCACTGAACCCCAGGAGCGCCTTGGTGCGGATCACCGTCACCGTCCAGGACGTCAACGACCATGTCCCCGTCTTCCCGCTCAGCCCGCTCCTGGTCACCTTGCCCCGCAACACGCCGCCCAAGCGGGTGGTGGCCACGCTGCGGGCCGAAGACCATGACGCCGGGGCCAACGCCTCCCTCCTCTACCGCTTGGCCACGCCCTCGCCGGCCTTTGCCATCAACACCTACACGGGGGCCCTCCAGCTGTTGCAACCACTTGGGGGGCTCAGCCCCCGCCAGCGCACCCTCTTTGTGCTGGCCAGTGACTTGGGGCACCCCTCTCTGTCCTCCACCGGGGTGGTTGTCATTCACCTCCAGGACGAGAGCCACCGAGGACCGCGCTTCCCTCGCAGCACCAGCGAGGTGGCGGTGCCCGAGAACGCCGCACCAGGTATTGGCCAAGGGTGACCGGCCGTCACAACATTTGGGCTGGCGGCGCAGAATGGGTGGGTGGTCTATCTCCATCTCATCCATTTGCTGTCCCTCGCTCACTTGGGAGAGATGACGCTCCCCCAGAGGGACAGCACACCAAGCGTGAGACACGCCTGCCCACGAGGGAGCCCGGAATGCATCCCCAGGGCTGGTTGGCAGATGCTCTCCCTCCACGCTGGCCTTGAACATGGGAGGCTGGCCACTCACCCAGGCACTACACCTCCTGGCAGGGGGGCTTGGTTTGGGTGTGTGTGTGGAGGGCGAAGCTGCGGTAGACACCTGAACACCTTTGTGCAGAGGGACAAGGGAGGAGACCTCCGGCTGCGCTCCCTTTGGAAAGGCATACTCTCCCCTCCCCTCTCCTGGCTTTCCTGCTGGGAGGACTTGGCCAGGGGCCCTCCGCGCCACTTCGCGCCCTGCTGACCGTTTTCCTACTTGTTCCTTCAGGCACCACGGTGGTGAATATGCCAGCCACCCATACGGCAGGGTCCTCAGGCCGCATCACCTACAGCATTGTCAGTGGCAATGAGAAGGGATCATTCCACATCCAGCCTAGCACAGGTACGATACAGGTGTGGTGGGCAAGACGGGCACAGGAGGGCCGGGTGGCACTGGAGCCACGTGCACAAAAGGGGCATAGAAGCACGCAATGCGCGCTGGTCTTTCTGGCCTTCCTTTCGCCACTCACAGGCTCCTCACATTTTCCGTGTCCCGAGACCACCATTTTTACGGGGTTTCCTTGCTCTCTGCCACATCCAGAGGTGGTCAGGCTGGCAGCACAGGTCTGTGAAGGGATGCAGAGCCCTCAGACCAGCCCCAACGGAAAGCCTCTGTATGAAAGCCTAGGCCAGAAACTGGGTGGGGTGGGTGGGGCCAGTCCAGGGGAGCAGGGACTGGCTCAGAAGCTCTTCTTCACCGTCATCAACCTCTCTGGCATGGGTGCACTACGAAAAACTCAATGGTCACCCTCTGTCTTGCCTCTTCAGGGGTGGTGTCTGTGCACAATCCTGAGAACCTGGACTTTGAACGGAGCCCCCGCTTGCGCCTGGTCCTGCAGGCGGAGTCAGCCTCCTCTTGGGGCTTCATGGCCGTCAATATCAACCTGCAGGATGCCAACGACAATGCGCCTCGCTTCCAGCTGCAGAACTATGTGGCCTTCATCTGGGAGGCCCAGAGCTACGACTCGCCTGTCATCCAGGTACTGCCCGGGAAGGGGTGGAGGCCCGAAGAAGCCCACGTGGCTGGAGAGAGAGGGTTGGGTCCCGAATGCTATCCCTGGAACGCAGAGGAGAGAGAGGAGGACTGGCCAGCCTGCAGGAGGAGGGAGGAGGACGAGGAGGGTGGCTGGGGAAGCCTGGGGCTGCCTGGGGTGGGGTTGGTTTGGTCTGTGCGGAATGTGGATGGCTGGCTCCTCTCTCCTTGAAGGTGGTGGCTGATGACATGGATCAGGGCCTCAATGGCCAAGTGACCTACACAATCAATCAGACCTTGCCCATGAATGGGCTGTACCACATCCATGCCCAGACGGGGACCATCACAACGGCTGCCATCCTGGACCGGGAGATCTGGGGCCAGACCAGGTGCTTCCCCTTCTCTTCTTCTTCCGTTCAACACGCTTTGCGAGTGGGAGAACCAGAGGATCACAGGACGGTAGTGTTTGAAGGGACCCTCCCCCACCCCCAGGATCATCTACTCCAGCAGTGCAGAAAGCCCACTGGTGAAGGGTCCCCGGGCCTCTCTCCTCCTCCTCCTCCGTGGCTGTCATATGACACACCCCCCCCTAGGAGTTCTTTCTCAGTTTCTCCTAGACCCTCCTTTCTTGTATTTTCAATCAACTTGTTCTGTTTCATGAAGGACACACTTGCGGCCACATCACTTGAGGAATGGGGTGGGCCAGAGGAGTTTGCTTCCCACTCGGCTGTGTGTCGGGCAAGACATTTTCCAAAGTAAGGGGTACAGTTATGGGCCCTGAGGGTTGCCCTGACACCCAGTCCATAGGACGTGGTTGCAAGAAAGGGGGAGGAGGAGGAAGAGGAGGAGATGATGTGCAAGCCCTGCCATGCCCAGGGGCTCCGAGAGGGCCCTCCCTTGCCTGATGTCCTCCCAGCTCACTTCCGCCTAGAGTGGTCGTACTGACCAGATAGGCTGGGTATAAACAGAACAAATACATAAAATAAATAAATTCCCAGGCTGGCACAGGTGGCATCCGCTGGCCTCTGAAAGCCACTGAGACATCTTTCACTCCCACAGGCTGGTGCTGACAGCAACAGATAGAGGAAACCCTCCCCTTGTAGGCTCAGCCACGCTTACTGTGGTGGTCATGGACGTCAATGACAACAGCCCCACCATCCCCGCGCCTGTGGAAGTTCGTGTGCCTGAGAGTAAGTAGGGTATCTGTGCATGCGTGTGTGCGTGCGCGCGTGCATGCTTCTGAATGTTTCCCTACAGGGGTGATGATGCAAGACCCGAATCCCTGCTGTTTGGGCATAGGGCCTCCCCAAGGAGGGAATCTGACAGACTCTCACAGAGCTGTCTCTGCACCGTGTCCTGCAGCCTTGATCCAGAGCAGGAGGTAACCGGCCTGGCTCTCTCCCTTGCGTTCCTCCAGATGCTCTCCTTGGCACAGAGATCACCCTGGTGACCGGCAATGACGTGGACTGTGGCCCCCAGCTCTCCTACCTCCTCCTACTGGACAGCAGCGCCACTGGGACCTTTAGCATCCTGCGCTACAGCGGGCGCATCACCTTGATGGGGCCACTGGACTATGAGCAGCATCACCGCTACACCCTGACTGTGCGCACCTCCGACTCCCAGCACGAGACTGAGGCCAACGTCACGGTGATTGTGGAGGATGTGAATGACAACGCCCCGGCCTTTGCCCAGACTTGGTACCAGGTAAGAGCTCTTCGAAGAGGCCTCTGCTCAAAGTCCCAGGTGGAAACCTGCCCTTCCATTGCCAGGTCCCGCCAGTCCAGAGCCCATTCCCCCCCCCGACCCACCCTTCTGTCGCTGTGCCTCTGCTCGCCGAAGGGTGGACTGAAGACAACAGACCTTTTCCTCTGCAAGTGGATTTCTGGATGAGTGGAACAGATCAGCAAGGATTTCTGACTTCTGGTTTTGTTGCTGTTGTTTTGGAAAACAGCAGCAGAATCAAAGGGGGATTGAAGAGGGAACCGATTCTGCTCAGGTAACCAGGAATACTGTGATCGGTGGCCAGGCTTTACGCTCCGTGGGCCTTGCTATGACACGCCCTCAAGCTGCCTCTGACTTACGAGACTCCATGAATGAGTGACAACCCCCCCCCCGCAGAATGTCCTAGGGTGGCCCAAGATCCATTCTCCGCTCCTGCTAATTCCAGGCTGACGCTTCTTTTCTGGAGTCACTTCCAGAGTCATTTCCAAACATATTCCCAGAATACTTTGTAGATGAGGAGCGCCGCAGCAGATGGGCAGCGGGGGGTCACTGCTTTTTCTTTGGGTCAAGGGAAAACAAAGTCGATCCCATGAGCCTGAAGTGCGCCTGCCCCTCGCCTCGTCCCTGGTCCAAAGCCCTGGTGCTGGGCCCTAGTGTCATGGAAAGGGAGGCGCACGGCGAGTAAAAGGGCCAAGGCAGAGCCCTGCTGCCCTTCCACAGCCTCACAGGAAGCATGCAGAATGTGGCCCATGGCACGGCAGGCTCCCGTCTGAGGGCAGAGTGGAGGGGGCCAGGGGCTCACCTGGGTTCAGACCGCCGTGGACAGTAGGCCTGGGTCCGATACGGCTGACTGGTGCCCAAGGGTAGCGCTCGCGAAGGGCTTTGGAAAGCAGCCGGCCAGGCACGGAGCCCCTCTGGAAGAAAGGGGCCCGAAGGCTCTCTGCGTCCCGCCTCTGAGAGCAGACCATCTTCGTTTCTTAAAGGGAATAACTAATCCCTTTTTGAATAATATGTTAGAAGGCTGGGAGGAATGTAGGTATATATTGAGTCCACTTATCTCACCACTACAACAAGTAGTGGAGGCTCGGAACGTCCCCAAAATCCTTAAAACTAAACTTAGAGAAGTAATAGTAGAGAAAGGGTTAAATACAATAAGGGCTTGGATGAAAAAGATGAAAGATAAAAATACCATTAAGGAAATTTTGGGAGACGAGGAGGCGCTATCTTGGCTAAATATACTCCAGATGGAGAGTTGGACAAGGGAGTGGACCAGAAAAGTAGGAGAAATTAGAAAACTGTCTAAATTGGAGGGGATTATAGAGGAAAGACAAGGTCAAAAGAAAGGAAATAAAAGTAAGGGTACAGTAAGTGTGATTTATAAGATTTTAATAAATGTTGGATATGAAAAAGCTATGATGAAAAACCAATGGCAAGAGGACTTAGAGGAAGAAGTTAAAAGTGGAACAAAATATGGTCACAAAGAATAAGGAAGAATATGTCTATAAGGGTGAAAGAAAATTGCCACAAGGTTGCATGGAGATGGTACTTTACCCCAACAAGACTGAATATAATAAGTAAAAATGTACCATCTCAGTGCTGGAGAAACAAAAAAAGAAAAAGGGACCTCTATGCGTATGTGGTGGACGTGTGAAATAAGAAAGAAAGAATGGTCAGTGGTTTTAAAAGAAATTAGAGAAATTATTGGAAATAATATATATCACCAACTATTGTACTTTTAAATATAATCAAGAATGACCATCTTAAAAAAGAACAGAAGGAATTAATCATTATAATGGTCACAGCAGCAAGATTAATATTTGCAAAAAACTTGGAAAAATGACAAACAAGTCAACCTTGAAGATTGGTATAAAGAAATGTGGAGTTTAGCCATAAATGATAAGCTAACATGTGAAATAAAAGTAAGAAGGGGGAATGACAAAATATGGAGTGAAAAGAGAATAAAAGAAATATTTTCTTATCTGGTCCCAAGGGTGATGCTGGCAATGGGGGTGGGGCTGGGGGGGGTTGTATTGGTGCATGGCATGCATGCATGTATACACACTTTATGTTAGTATTGTGCTTATTGTTTTTCTTTAATTAATGAAAATAAATAAATAACAGCAGCCCGCCTCCCAGACATGACCAGTCATGCTCTGTGTCCTCTAGGTGTTGCTGCCAGAACACACCCCAGCGGGCAGCCCATTCCTGACCCTCACTGCCACAGACCGGGACTCTGGGACCAACGCGGAGATTATCTACCAACTGGCCACACCAAACCACATGGTTGCCATCCATGCCCACAACGGTATGAGGGCAGAGGGGTGGTGAGGGGGCTAGGAGAGGGAATGGGAGGTGAGCAGGCCCAAGCAAAGGATGGGCCCGGCCAGCCAGCTTTCCTCTCTCCTCCTTCCTGACGGGCAGGGTAGAAGGGGTAGAGGGGGCTGGATGCAGAGCGTTGGGGGATGTCCGCTTGGCACCCCAGCTCAAGCCCTTCCCACCTTCCTACCTGGCGCTCTCTCTCCTCCGGACTCTCACTGCCCTTCCTCTTGCCTCACAGGGACCCTCTTCACCAGCCAGCCCCTGACGCTGGAGCCAGGCCGCCCCACCCTGGAGGTCCTCGTGGAAGCCCGTGATAAAGGCGTGCCTCCCCTGTCCGCCTGGGCCACCGTGCAGATCCAGGTGATGGATGTGAATGACCACGGGCCTCGTTTCTTGAGGAGCCACTACAACGCCTGTGTCTCCGAGGACTTGTGGCCGGGGGCCACCGTGCTCACCCTGGAGGCCACCGACGCAGATGTGATACGGGACAACACAGCCCTCGACTACACCATTGTCAGTGGGAACAGGGGGCGTGCTTTCCAGCTGGAGGGCCAGGTGGGCGGAGCCAGCGCCCTGGTCCTGGTGGAGCCGCTGGATTTCGAGGCCGTGGCCGTCTACAACCTCACGGTGGCCGTGTCGGACCGTGGGGTGCCCCAGCACAGCGCCACGGTGCCTGTGGTCCTCTCAGTGCTGGATGTCAATGACAACCCCCCTGCCTTTGGGCGTGCCGCCTACCACATGGCCGTGAGCGAGAGCGCGGCGCCCGGGACAGAGCTGCTGCGTGTGGCTGCCCACGACCCAGACTCCGGCCCCCACAGCCAGGTCCGCTACGGCATCAGCTCCGGTGACCCCCAAGGACTCTTCCAGCTTCACCCGTCCACCGGGGCCCTTCGCCTGGCCAAAGCGCTGGACTGCGAGGCCCAGGCCCTGCACACACTGGTGGTTCAGGCCTCCGACGGGGCCGGCGGCCACTTTGCTCTGGCTCCGGTCACGGTGGAAGTCAAGGACGTCAACGACAACCTTCCTTTCTTTCCCATCGAGACCCTGAGCACCAGCTTGCGAGAAAACCTGCCTCCCGGGAGCCTGGTCACTACGGTGCGTGCTGTGGATGCAGACGTGGGGGTCTTTGGGGTGCTGCGCTACACTTTGCTGCCCACCAAGGGCTCCGAGGCCTTCTTCCTTAATGGCACCTCTGGGGAGCTGTGCTCCCGCCAGCCGTTTGACTACGAGCGCACCAAGGCCATCCAGCTGCATGTGCACGCTGCCGACGTGGGCAACGGCTCAGCCACAGCAACGGTGCACGTCCTGGTGACCGGTGAGGACGAGTATGATCCCATCTTCCTCAACCCCCCCTTCCGCTTTGCAGTTCCTGAGGGGGCACGCCAGGGCCAGAGCATAGGACACGTGGTGGCCACTGACGAGGACGAGGGGCCCGATGGGGTGGTACTCTATAGCCTCACCAAACCGTCCCCCTTCTTTGGCATCAACCGGACAAGTGGCACCATCTACCTGCGCATGGACAGCCAGGCGCCAGCAGGGGGGCCGCCCCAGCCGGAGCCACGAGAGATGGTGCTGGAGGTGCAGGCCCACAGCCCCCTGCCTGCCTCGCGCTCCTCCTCCACCCAGGTTGCGGTGGATGTAACGCACACCTCCTTCGGCCTGGTGCCTGACCTCAACCTGATGCTGGTGGTCGCCGTGGCTGCTTCGCTGAGCGTGGTGGTGGTGCTGGCCGCTGTGGCCATTGTGCTGGTCCTGATCCGGTCCCGGCGGGGTCACGGCCACAAGGAAGCAGAACTGACGCCCGTGCCGAGTGGCTCTCTGCAGAAGCTGGGCCATGCTGAGCCCGTGCTCTCGGAGCGGGACTGTCTCTATCATGAGGCTCTTCCCGGCTACAGCACAGACCCGGCGGGGCCCTACGCCACCAGGGGTGGGTCGCTGGACCCCTCCCACTCCAGCGGGCGGGGCTCTGCCGAGGCAGCCGAAGATGATGAGATCCGCATGATCAACGAGTGCCCCCGCATGTCCAGCGTCACGTCTTCCCTGCAAGACCACCTCGTGGCCCGCGGGCCAGACTCCGGCATCCAAACAGACGCTGACCGCCTGTCGGACGTCTCCTGCGAGCCGGCCACCCTAGACGCCTCCCACTGGTTCAAGAGCCGGAAGGGGCCGGGCCTGCTGCTGCCCGGGCAACCCCCACAGCTCTACCGAGAGGGCGGCGGCGGCGGCGGCGGCACCGGCGCCACATACCTGGGTGCCGGCTGTGGCCTCAGTGTCCCCTCTGCCAAAGACTACTCCTTCCCCGAGGATGGGAGGCCCTGCGTGGACGGCTCCCTCACGGCCATCGTGGCGAGCGACGAGGAGCTGCGTGGCAGCTACAACTGGGACTATCTCCTCAACTGGTGCCCACAGTTCCAGCCCCTGGCCAGCGTCTTCACAGAGATCGCTCGCCTCAAGGACGAGAGCTCCCTGCGCAAGCCGTTCCCCACCAAACCGAAGCCCCGCATCGACCCGCCGCCACTCATTACCTCGGTGGCCCACCCTGGGGCCAAGTCGGTGCCCCCGAAGCTGGCCGTCGGCCGCGCCTTCCCACACCTGTCCTCCCTGCGGCGCTCCCCCATCAGCCACGAAGGCTCGCTCTCCTCGGCCGCCATGTCCCCGAGCTTCTCTCCCTCCCTCTCCCCGCTGGCCGCCCGCTCCCCCGTGGTCTCGCCCTTTGGGGTCTCCCAAGGGCCCTCGGCGTCCGCCATCAGCACCGAGCATTCCTTGGGAGCCTCCGAAGACGGCGAGCTCCGCATCTAGTTTGGGCTCCAGACTCTTTTTGTCTCCCTCGCCTCCTTCCTGCTCTGGGGCAGGAGACGGAGCCGGCACACCCCCCCCTGCTTCCTGGGGGGCAGCCCCGGCGGCCACGAGAGCGAAGGGACTCGGACAGGGCGAGGGCTAGCGATGATCGCCGACTCTCTCGCCCATCCATCGGTTCGCCCGTCTGTCCATCTGCAGGATCACCAAACGGGGAGGGGGGGGCTGGCGGCACTCTCTGGAGCCCCCCTCGTGGCTGTTTGGAGTCCTGTCCATCTCCCGTCAGAAAAGGGATGCTCCTCAGATACTCGCTGGACTGGAAACTGAAAGAAAAGACAGCGCAAGCTGTCGGGGCCCTCCAGCATTCTCCCCATCCTCGCCCGCCAACACACCAGCAGGAGGGGGAGGAGGGGGAGCTCTGAAGGAATCACCCGGCTGGGTTGTGTGTGTGTGTGTGTGTGTCAAGCTAAAGTGCCACACTGTCCCCCATCCATCTTCCCGCTTCACACACACTGTTCTCAACCACCGCTGCAGAGGGAGGGGCTGCGAGGCCTTGCCCCACCGAGCCCGGCTCAGCAGCGCTCACACAGCAGGGGAACCGAACCGGTGGGGCCCCAGCATGGGTCTAATGCAGGAGATGCAGCTGCTGTCTTCCTGGGCATTTTGGGGAGGGGGGGAAAGGGAGGGAGCCTCTTGTCCCCCCCCCCCCCCCCCCCCCCCCTGCCCCCCCCCCATTTCCCTTCCTTTCCAGGGCAACCTCCTCCTCTCACTGCACGGATTGCTCTGGCTCACGCACACCCCTGAGGAGGGGCTGGTTCCCCCTCCCCCTGCACCTGGGGAGAAGGGTGCCTTCACTTGGCTTTGAGGCCCCGCGGGTAGCCAGGGAGCGTGGCCCCGGACCAAATGCCTCTGGGTGTGGCAGCCATAGGCCTGTGGGGCCAGCCCTGGCCTCTTCCCTTGTGGCAGAGTTCAGCGTTTGACTACATGCCAGT